TGTGGTGGTGCATGCCTGTAATCCCAGCTACCCGGGAGGCTGAGGCAGAAGAATCACTTAAACCTGGGAGGCAGAGGTAGCAGTGAGCTGAGATACCACCATTGCACTCCAGCCTGGGGTACAAGAGTGAAAAATCCGTCTCAAAATAAATAAATAAATAAATTTACTTACTATCCACGCTACTCTCTACCCCCAAGACTCAAGGAATACTTTTTTTGTTTTTGAGACATGGTCTTGCTCTGTTGCCCAGGCTGAAGTACAGTGGTGCAATCACTGCAGTCTCAATCTCCTGGGCTCAAGTGATCCTCTCACCTCAGCCTCCCGAGTAGCTGGGGCTACAGGAATGCACCCCCACACCTGGCTAATTTTTTATTTTTTGTAGAGACACAATCTCACTATGTTGTCCAGGTTGGTGCTGAACTCCTGGGCTCAAGCGATCCTCCCACCTCAGCCTGCCAAAGTGCTGGGAACACAGGTGTGAGCCACTATGCATGGCCCATCATATATTTTTTAAGCAATAAGATAGACAGTAAGTTATATTAGTTGTCTGGTTAGAGAGCTACAGTAAAATTTTTAAAAAAGCAGATTTAGCAGGAATTACAGTAACATACTTACCTGCCATTTCTGACTTTCTCTCTATTTTCATATGAGACTCTGTCTGGAATACCCTAGGAGAGAAAATAAAGATTATTAAAAACCTGCAATTTGTAATCAGTATCCTTTGGTGTTAATTTATAGTCTGTGTTGAGATAGGCAAAGATAATACTTTGATTTTAGCTTCTTCTTTGCTATGCCATATACTCCTAGTATTTCAAATGCCAAAATTAGTTTACCACAATAAAATCTACTATAGTTTTGTTTTTATTTTTGTTTTTAAATAGGATCTCGCTTTGTTGCCCAGTCTAGATTGCAGTGGTGCGATCACAGCTCGCTGTAGCCTCAACCTCCCAGGTTAAAGTGATCATCCCACTTTAGCCTCCCGAGTAGCCTCACCAACAAGCCTAATATTTTTTATTTTTAGTAGAGACAAGGTTATTATAGTTAATTAATTTATTTATTTTTAACTAAGATTCTGAGCCATTTGTTACTGCAGAGGGTATAGTCTTTAAATGAGCTCTGACTTAGTAATTATTTATCCCTCTCAATAACCTAAAATATTCATCTAATTCAACAAGTATTTATTAAACACTCACTATATACCTGGTATTATACTACGGCCTGGGATACAAACACGTGATCCTTGACTCAAGGAGCTTCCACTATAAATAGAGCTAGAACAGTGATTACAAACATTATTTCACTGGCTTTTGTTATTAACAATTCAGGTATGGTAGCATGGACTCCATAGGAAGGGATCCCTTTTCACTGGGATGGTTAAGAATAAGCTTCAGGGAGCATTTTGACATCTGCCTTGAATCTGACCAGTTCATTCTAATTTTGCTAATATTAAGTATCACTCACTATATAGAAGCTATTCTTTTTTCTTTTTTGAGACAGGGTCTCATTCTGTTCCCCAGGCTGGAGTGCAACGACACTATCATGGCTCACTGCAGCCTGGGACTCCTGAGCTGAAGCAATCCTCCAGATTCGCCTCCCGAGTATCTGGGACTACAGGTGCATAGTATCATGCCTGGCTAATTTTTTTTTTTTTTTTTTTTTTTTGTAGAGATGGGATCTCGCTAAGTTGCTTGGGCTAGTCTTGAACTACTGGCCTCAAGCAATCCTCTGGCTTCAACCTCCCAAAGTGCTGGGATTACAGGCGTGAGCCACCACATCTGGCCGCTAGTACAATGTCAAGTAACAGTTGGATATCATTGTTTTGTTCCTGACTTTAGAGGGAATGCTTTCAATTGTTTCTCTCTTAAACATAATACTGAATAACCTTTTAAATAATAACTAATGTTTCATCAAAACAGATTATTCAAGTCAGTACCAATACATTTGGTTTGATACACAAAATACTAGTACCTGTAATATTTTAGTTATTTCTGCTTTCAACTTACTTTATAGTATCTGCAAAGCTGACTCGACGAGAGTTTTTCTTATTTCTCAAAGCATTGGATTCCTAAGGGCAGAGAATATATGGTATAATTCTTAATAAAATCACTGTGAATTACATTTCCAGAGTACTATAGACAGAGATCAAGTCTTTTTTTTTTTTTTGAGATGGAGTTTTGCTCTTGCTACCCAGACTGGAGTGCAACAGTGCGATCTCGGCTCACCGCAGCCTCTGACACCCGGCTTCAAGCGATTCTCCCACCTCAGCCTCCCAAGTAGCTGGGATAACAGGCATGCGTCAGCACGCCCGATCAAGTCTGTATTTTTAGTAGAGACGGGGTTTCTCCATGTTGATCAGGCTGGTCTCAAACTCCTGACCTCAAGTGATCCTCCCACCTCAGCTTCCCAAAGTACTGGAATTACAGGCATGAGCCACTGCACCTGGCCAGAGATCACGTTTTATTCTGAATTACCTCTTCAAATGTTGTAGTGTGTGTCAGAATTGCCTTCTTTTTTTCTTTTTTTTTCTTTTTTTTTTTTTTTTTTTTGAGACGGAGTCTCGCTCTGCCGCCCGGGCTGGAGTGCAGTGGCCGGATCTCAGCTCACTGCAAGCTCCGCCTCCCGGGTTCCCGCCATTCTCCTGCCTCAGCCTCCCGAGTAGCTGGGACTACAGGCGCCCGCCACTTCGCCTGGCTAGTTTTTTGTATTTCTTAGTAGAGACGGGGTTTCACCGTGTTAGCCAGGATGGTCTCGATCTCCTGACCTCGTGATCCGCCCGTCTCGGCCTCTCAAAGTGCTGGGATTACAGGCTTGAGCCACTGCGCCCGGCCACCTTCTTTTCAAGGCTGAATGATATTTCACTGCACGTATATATTACCACATTTTGTTTATCCATTCATCAATGGACACTTAAGTTGCTTCCACCTTCTGGCTACTGTGAATCATGCCATTATGAACATGGGTGTACAAATATCTCTTTGAAACTCTCAATTCTTTTGGATATATATCCAGAAGTGGAATTGTTCAATCATATGGTAATTCTATTTTCAATTTGTTGAGGAATTGCCATACTGTTTTCCATAGCAGCTGTACCATTTTATATCCCCACCAACAGAGCACAAGGGTTCCAATTTCTCTGTATCCTCATCAACACTTGTTATTGTCTGTCTTTTATTTTAACCATCCTAATGGGTGTGAGCTGATATCTCATTTAGGTTTTGATTTGTATTTTCCTAATGGTCAATGATGTTGAGCATCTCTTCATTAGAATACAGTATTTTTACTTTCCTTCCCCACCCTCCTTAACAAGAGCAAACATTTCTACTCACATAAATACCATACACAAAAACCAAAAGACATTAAGGATGAGCTTGCTGTTAAGTAAAAACATAAAATCATAATAACCAAAAGACAGAAACAAAATCCACAGAGAATTTTACTGGGTTAATTCTGAATACCTGACCATAAGTCTTATTATAATAAAGAATCAGAAATGGTAACCCCTCTGCGTCAAAGCAGTGATGTGATTAAGGTCCTAGAAGATGCTACAGGTAGCCTTGAGCTTAATATGACAATTATAATACTGACATGGTAAACACTGGGACTAACAGAGACTAATATATTTCTTACTGAAAAAAAAGAAAACTGATATTTTCGTAGTTCATAAGTGTGACTGGGTTTTCACACGCATGTGAGATGTGCTTTCCTCAAACTTTGTTACATGTTGGCACATTATACATCTGACATGAAAAAAGAAAGGCGCAGCATGATGGCTCATGCCTATCATACCCACTCTTTGGGAGGCCCAGGCAGGAGGACCGCTTGAGCCCAGAAGTTCAAAACCAGCCCAGTCAACATAGCAAGACCCTTGTCTGTACTAAAAAAAAAAAAAAAACATGTTAAGGGCCAGGTACAGTGGTTCACGCCTGTAATCCCAGCACTTTGGAAGATCAAGGTGGGTAGATTGCTTGAGCCCAGGAGTTCAAGACCAACGTAGGCAACATGGCGAAACCCCTTCTCTACAAAAAATAAAAAATTAGCCAGGCATAATGGCATGTTCCTGTGGTCCTAGTTATTCAGGAGGCTAAGGTGGGAGGATCTCGAGCCCAGGAGGAGGAGGTTGCAGTGATCCATGATCGCACCATTGTACTCCAGTCTGGGCAACAGAGTGAGACTCTGTCTCTAAATAAATAAATAAATAGGCAGGTATGGTGGCATGTGCCGTAGTACCAGCTACTCAGGAGGCTGAGGCAGGAAGACTGATTGAACCCAGGAATGCAGGGCTACAGGGAGTTATGATTGTGCCACTGCACTCCAACCTGGGTAAGTGAGGGAGATGCCATTTCTAGAAAAGAGAAGAAAAAAGGAAAACCATGAATGCCAGTATATTCAAGTGTTTGGAAAGCCATGGGATGCTTACACATTCCCTCTTCATATAGCTAATAAAGTTCTTGACTTAAAAATATAACTGAAAATAGTCATCTATAAAGTATTTGCACAAGAGACTTACCTGAACTGTTTCATTCCCACCTCTGAGGTCCTGAAGAGGACTCCTTGGGGGTTTCAAAATCTGTGGTAACAATTAGAATTATTCAAAAAAAATTTGGCATATCTATTAAGAATCAGTTTATTTCAAGTTATATCATAGGTAGAAAGCTAAAATTTTCATTACAAACTCTGAAACTCCTCAAATTCATTCTGCTCAATGCTACACCGTGTGGCAGATTTAAATATCTGACATCTATTCCCTTCTACCTGCCCATCCTCTCCAATTATTTTACCCACTCTCATCCCATGTGGTCTGAGTGAACGTCACACCAACTCTAGGGTAAAACACATAGCTCTGTCTAGAACAATGTGATATTCTCTTGTCAATGATGATTTGTTCAGGAATGAGGACTTGACCCATATCAGGATAATGAAGCTAAAATGATTCAATTCTGAGTCTTTTCTGTTTTCAGGAAAAAGACACTATTCTTCACGTAGGACTTGAGCCTGGAAGTAAAAAAGCTGGATGTACCACAGTAATTACAGGGAAAGAATCTATCTGCTGGAGATTACCCAGAGGAAGCACTAAGAGTAGAAAAAGAAAAAGGAGGCTGGATGCAGTGGTTCACGCCTGTAATCCCAGCACTTTGGGAGGCCAAAGATGGGGCGGATCACGAGGTCAGGAGATCAAGACCATCCTGGCTAACATGATGAAACCCCATCTCTACTAAAAATACAAAAAATTAACCGGGCATGGTGGCAGGTGCCTGTAGTCCCACCTATTCGGGAGGCTGAGGCAGGAGAATGGTGTGAACCTGGGAGCAGGAGCTTGCAGTGAGCCGAGATCACGCCACTGCACTCCAGCCTGGGTGACAGAGCGAAATTCCGTCTCAAGAAAAAAAAAAAGAAAAAGGAAATCCTAGTACTGGTGTCATGGTTACAACCTCTGGTCAGTAAGCTGTGCCTAAAGCCATCCCTTCTTTGGATTTGTTAGTATCATAACCCAATGTATTTTGTGCTTAAAGCAGTTTGGGCTGGGCATAATGGCTCAGCAGTTTGGGAGGCTGAGGCAGGAGGATCACTTGAGGTCAGGAGTTTGAGACCAGCCTGGGCAACATGGCAAAACCTCATCTCTTCTAAAAAATAAAAAAATCAGCCACGCATGGTGGTACACGCTTGTAATTCCAGCTACTCAGGTGGCTGAAACATGACAATCGCTTGAACCCAGGATGCAGAGGTTACAGTGAGCCGAGATCACACCACTGCACTCCAGTCTGGGCAACACAGCGAGACTCTGTCTCAAAAAACAAAAACAGTTTGGGTAGGTCTTTTGTCTCTTGCAACAGCTTTGTACCACAGGTTAAACATATCTTTTAAATAGCTTTATTGCCGGGCGCGGTGGCTCAAGCCTGTAATCCCAGCACTTTGGGAGGCCGAGACGGGCGGATCACGAGGTTAGGAGTCCGAGGGGCCATTTCCTGGTAACCCACGGTGAAACCCCGCTCTCTACTAAAAAATACAAAAACTAGCCGGGCGTGGTGCGGGCGCCTGGTAGTCCCAGCAACCTCCGGAGGCTGAGGCAGGAGAATGGCGTGAACCCGGGAGGCGGAGCTTGCGGAGAGCCGAGATGGCGCCACTGCACTCCAGCCTGGCGGCCGACAGAGCGAGACTCCGTCTCAAAAAAAAAATAAAAAAAAAAAAAAAAATAAATAGCTTTATTGAAATATAACTTACATAGCATAAAATTCGTAAAATTACTACAAAATTCATAAAGTATGAATTTTGGTATATTTACAGAATTGCATAACCACGTTAAATATCTGAGTCTTTACCTAGAGAGCAATAGGAAGCCAGTGAGAGTAGGATGGTGAAGCCACAGTCAAAACTACTGTGATATATAGTTATCATTAAATAAAAGCTGACAATTATTAATTCAAGAAAGTCTTTCTTACTGAAGAATGCCGTCTTCTAACAGGTCTCTCTATATTGTCACTGAAAAAGGAAAAAAAAATTATAAACACATTGATAAAAAACTGAATTCCCAAAAGGGATCATCACAGCACCCCTTACATGCTTTCAAACTGGTCATCACTTTCACTTAGCACTCTGACAAGCAAAATTTATATACAAGACTTTAAATTCAGTTAGGAATTCAGTGTTTTAAAATACATACTGTGTACTACGAGACCATCTCTTGAATAATAATCAGTACAACATAATTTACCATATTTACAGAGATATAATAATATGATAAAGGGCTATAAGTCAAGAGACGCTACTTTTGGTTTTACTACTATATGACTTTTAGAGCAGGTTTTGGAAATTCAAATGCCTCTGAGGCTAAACAGATAATTTTTTAGGAGTAAGAAAAATAGGTAGTGTTGAAATGTAATGACGGCCGGGCGCGGTGGCTCAAGCCTGTAATCCCAGCACTTTGGGAGGCCGAGACGGGCGGATCACGAGGTCAGGAGATCGAGACCATCCTGGCTAACACGGTGAAACCCCGTCTCTACTAAAAAATACAAAAAACTAGCCGGGCGAGGTGGCGGGCGCCTGTAGTCCCAGCTACTCGGGAGGCTGAGGCAGGAGAATGGCGTGAACCCGGGAGGCGGAGCTTGCAGTGAGCTGAGATCCGGCCACTGCACTCCAGCCTGGGCTACAAAGAGAGACTCCGCCTCAAAAAAAAAAAAAAAAAAAAAAAAAAAAGAAATGTAATGACCTAGAGAATTCCTCTCTCACCTAAAGGTCAGTCATTCCTCTGCTGTGGTTAGTTGTTGCCAAACAAGAATAGCAGCCCAGTGTTGCCACGCTTGATTTTTCAAGAGAAGCTGAAAACCCAATTGTACAAAATTTTGAGATCTTGAAATTTTGGCAACTAATTCAAAAACTAAAAAACATGTGTAGGCCAAAGCCAGCCACAGTGGCCCATGTCTATAGTTCCAGCTATTCAGCTGGAGACTGTGGCAGGAGAATCACTTGAGTCCAGGAGTCCAAATCTAGCCTGGGCAACGAAGCAAGACACAGTCTCTTAAAAAGAAACAATCAAAAAACATTATGTATAAGCCAAAAACTTATGACTAAAGGCTGCAAACAAGCCATCAGATTGTGATGGCAATTTTAGACAAATCATTTTATCTTCCTGGTTCCCAATTTTCTCATCCTTAAATTGAAGAGATGGGAGATAGTATCTAAAGTCCCTCTCAGATTTGACTCTAGATGAGATGATGATGATGATGATGATATTTGAGACAGGGTCTTGAGGTAGGAGGCAGAACTTGACTCCAGAGGTGGGGCTTGGATACAGGACCAAATTGAGGACTAGCTAAAACAGGTCTGGGACAAAAGCACTTCCCCATAAGACACTCCCATCAGGGTGCCTTGTCAGTTTACCATTGCCACAGCAAAAACCCAGCAGTTACCTGCCCTTTCCATGGCAATGACCAGACAAGCTGGAAGTTACTACCCTCACTCTAAAAATGTCTGCATAAAACACCCCTTAATTTGCATATAATTAAAAATGGGTATAAATATGAGTGCAGAACTGCCTCTGAGCTGCTACTGTGGGCTTAGTGCCTATAGAGTAGCCCTGCTCTGCAAGGAGCTATACCAGTGCTGCTGCTTTACACTAAGCCACTTCAATAAAAGTGCTGTTTAACACCGCTAGCCCATGAATTTTTTTTTTTTTTTTGAGACGGAGTCTAGTTCTGTCGCCCAGGCTGGAGTGCAGTGGCCGGATCTCAGCTCACTGCAAGCTCCACCTCCCAGGTTTACGCCATTCTCTTGCCTCAGCCTCCCGCGCATCTGGGACTACAGGTGCCTGCCACATCGCCCGGCTAGTTTTTTATATATTTTTTAGTAGAGACGGTGTTTCACTGTGTTAGCCAGGATGGTCTCGATCTCCTGACCTCGTGATCCGCCCGTCTCGGCCTCCCAAAGTGCTGGGATTACAAGCTTGAGCCACCGCGCCCGGCCGAATTCTTTTCTGAGCAAAGCCAAGCATCCTCCCTGGCTGGTAAAGCCAAGAGCCCTCTATTTAAAAAATTTTATTTTTTGTAGAGATGGGGGCAGGGGTGTCTTATTATGTTGCCCAGGTTGGTCTCAAATTACTGGGCTTAAGATATCCTCCTGCCTAAGCATCTCAAAGTGCTGGGACTACAGGTGTGAGCCACCATGCCCAGAGTAGATGAGTTTATACAAAGACATGGCAATGGCAAGGAAAACCATGAGTCTGTAACATCTCCTTCTTTTTGGATGAGTTCATGTACTTTGCAAGGACATGAATGAAGCTGGAAACCAACATTCTCAGCAAACTATCACAAGGACAGAAAACCAGACACCGCATGTTCTCACTCATAGGTGGGAACTGAACAATGAGATCACTTGGCCACAGAGCGGGGAACATCACACGCTGGGGCCTGTCCAGGGCTGGGGGATGGGGGAGGGATAGCATTAGGAGACATTCCTAATGTAAATGATGAGTTGATGGGTGCAGCAAACCAACATGGCACATGTATACATATGTAACAAACCTATACATTGTGTACATGTACCCTAGAACTTAAATTTAAAAAAAAAAAACTACTTCTTTTTATTGGAACACAATGGAAAAAGATCTCAGAAGTTATGGATAGGTCCTACTAATTAGAAAAATATCTTTCTCTGATAGAATATAACATTTTTAGCTGCATTAAATGAACTTACTTTTCTTCATTAGCCTCTGAAGATGCCCCATCCATTTTTGAAGAAAACCTTTCTGTAACAAATATACAATATTAGAAAAGATGAGGAAAAAGGAAAAGCAACTGCAATCTAAGAAGAGATTAAGAGTACAGTTGGTGACTTCAGGGTTACTTTCTGAGGGAAGACCAAAGATGGGAAGGAAAGGCTGGGCACGGTGGTTTATGCCTGTAATCCAGCACTTTGGGAGGCCGAGGCAGGCGAATCACCTGAGGTCGTGAGTTTGAGACCAGCCTGACCAACGTGGAGAAACCCCATCTCCACTAAAACACAAAATTAGCCGGGCGTGGTGGCGCATGCCTGTAATCCCAGCTATTCGGGAGGCTGAGGTAAGAGAATCACTTGAATCCAGGAGACAGAGGTTGTGGTGAGCCGAGATCGCTCCATTGTACTCCAGCCTGGGCAACAAGAGCAAAACTCCATCTCAAAAAAAAAAAAAAAAAAAGGAAAAACACCACTATACTTAGGAAGATACAAAACATGACTCATTTTAAGGAGTTTACACCACTATTATAATAAACATTCCTGGAAAATTCTCATACTCAAGATAAAATCAGTGACTAACTTTAATCAGGATGATAGGGACTTCACTGGTTCAAATAAAAATTTGGCCTAGCTTATAAGAGTTTGCAGATTATTTAATAATCTACTCCCAAAATGGACATCAATTAGATAAATGGTCCCCAACCTTTTCCAAATCAGGGATCAGTTTTGTGGAAGACTATTTTTCCACAGACCAGGAGGGTGTGATGGGGGATGGTTTCGGGATGCAACTGTTCCACCTCTGATCATCAGGCATTAGATTCTCATAAGGAGCCCGCAACCTAGATCCCTCGTGTGCACAGTTCACAGTAGGGTTTGTGCTCCTGTGAGAATCGAATGCCGCTGCTGATCCAACAGAAGGAGGAGCTCAGGCGCTAATGCTCACCTGCTGACCTCCCGCTGTGCCACCCAGGCAGTGGACCTATACCGTTCCATGGCCCAGGGGGTTGGGGACACCTGAATTAGATATCTAAATACAGTGAATTTGCATCATATGTATATTTATCTGAGGAAAAGTCAACTATAAGTACTCAGCAAAAAAAATTAACACATGAAAATAACATTAGCATAGCTGATAATGCTTTAAATTTCACTCAGTGAGTATTTGCCCTGGAAACAATATGAATTAAGAGGCATAATGTGAGGTTTCCTCAACTGGTCTCAGTTGCTGCCTCCCTATAACTATATTTGATTTTCACTTTATGTATTAACTTTAGAACTTCATTCTTGGGTAAGAAAAAAATGCCACTGCAGATTTCAAAAAAGAATAGCTGGAGATTTTGACTCGACCATATTAGCATTTCTGCCACAACACTAAATTAATACAATACACATAAACAGGATCAATGTTCTTGCTTTTAGCAATAAGTAAACAGGTACCTGAAAGATGTCTGATGTGCTTCAATCCACCTGCCTCTGTTTCCCAAAGTGCTGGGATTATAAGCAAAAGCCACTGTGCCCAGCTATTTTTCTAGTTTTAGCCATTAAACTGTCTTCGCACCATGGGAGATAAAAATTTAACTCCCTTTCCTGCAACCACCTCCAAGACACACATACACACACAACAAGGCAAGATTACATGCCATTCTCAAAAGTATAAAAATCCCAAATAGCCGGGTGCGGTGCCTCACGCCTGTAATCCCAACACTTTGGGAGGCCAAAGCGGGTGGATCACCTCAGGTCAGGAGTTTGAGACCAGCCTGGCCAACACGGTGAAACCCATCTCTACTAAAAATATAAAAACTAGTCAGACGTCGTGGTGGGTGCCTGTAATCCCAGCTGCTAAGGAGGCTGAGGCAGGAGAACTGCTTGAACCCAGGGGATGGAGGTTACAGTGAGCCAACGTGGGGCAACTGCACTCCAACCTGGGCAACAAAGTGAGACTCCGTCTAAAAAAAAAAAAAAAATCCCAAATAAATATCAGCAAAAAGAATCCAGCAATTTGTAAAAAGGATAATAGGATAATATATCACGGTCATGTTGGTTTCTTTGCAGAAATGCAAAATTGGTTGGGCACATATGGGGTAATGTGCCTATAGTCCCAGCTACTTGGGAGGCTGAGGCAGGAGGATCTCTGGAGCCCTGGAGTTCCAGGCTGTAGTGCACTATGATTGCAACGGTGAATAGCTACTGTACTCCAGCATGGGCAACATAGTGAGACTCCGTCTCTTAAAAAACAAACAAACAAATAAACAAACAAAAAGGAATGCACAGTTTAATATCAGAAAAATCAACCTTGCAATTTACCATACTAACAGATTAAAAGGCAAAAATTATATAATCATCTCAACAGATGAAGAAAAAAGTTTAGGGCTGGGCACAATGGCTCACACCTGTAATCCTAGCACTTTGGGCGGCTGAGGCAGGCTGATCACTTGAGCTCAGGAGTTCAAAAGGGGCCTGGACAACACGGCAAAACCGCATCTCTACAAAAAATACAAAACAGCTGGGCATGGTGGCTCGCACATGTAGTCCCAGTTACTCTGGAGGCTGAGGTGGAAGGATCGCTTGAGCCTGGGAGGCGGAGACTGCAGTGAGCAGAGATCAAACCACTGCACTCCAGGCTGGGCAACAGAGAAAGACTCTGTCTCGGGGGACGGGGGGTGGGGGGATGTTTAATGATGGTTTTTTTTTTTTTTTTTTGAGACGGAGTCTTGCTCTGTCACCCAGGCTGGAGTGCAGTGGCGTGATTTCAGCTCACTGCAACCTCTGCCTCCCAGGTTCACACCATTCTCCTGCCTTAGCCTCCTGAGTAGCTGGGACTACAGGCACCTGCCACCAGGCCCGGCTAATTTTTTTGTGTTTTTAGTAGAGACGGGGTTTCAGTGTGTTAGCCACGATGGTCTCGATCTCCTGACCTCATGATCCGCCTGCCTCAGCCTCCCAAGAATAATTTTTAATGACAAATTATATGCAACATACAGATAAAAATATTAACTACTATCAACTCAAGATCACGTAAATATCTTTGTTGTTTAAAATAGTCATTAAGCATAATTCCTGTCCAACCTGTAGACCAACTGGCTGGCAATTAACTGATGAAATTCAAGCTTAATGAAGTCCCCCTTTTAAAATATTCTATAACTGTTAAGTTCCACTTTCAACACAAATAGAAGACTCCACACTCACAAGTTAAGCTTCATTTATAAAACATTGTTATGGCCAAACTCTTGATCACTGACACATTAAGTTACTGGTTCCAGGAGCTGGGTGTGGTGGCTCAAGCCTGTAATCTCAGCACTTTGGGAGGCCAAGGTGGGAGGATCACTTGAGGCCAGGAGTTCAAGACCAGCCTGGGCAACATGGTGAAACCTCTGTCTCTACTAAAAATACAAAAAAATTAGCTGGGCATGGCAGCGTGCTCCTGTAATCCCAGGTACTTGGGAGGCTGAAGCAGGAGAATCCCCTGAACCCAGGAGGTAGAGATTGTAGTGAGCCAAGATGGTTCCACTGCACTCCAGCCTGGGAAACAGGGTGAGTAAGACTCCGTCTCAAAAAGAAAAAGAAAAAAAAAAAAAAGTTACTGATTCCAAACTGTGTACCTGGCACCCAAGGGTGCTGCAGCATACTCACAATGGTGTCCTGGGATATTTAAAAATTTTGAGAGATGCACAGCAGTTCTGAACATCTGTCAGGTACTGTGTGAACTACTAGCTCAAAACAGTACCATATGCATTACATTAGTTTTAATAACTTATCACTGTAAAGATAAACTGTTCGCAGTTGCTGTGATAAAAAGTAAGTACTTTTTTTTTTTTTTTTTTGGGATGGAGTTTCACTCTTGCTGCCCAGGCTGGAGTACAATGGCGCAATCTCAGCTCACTGCAGCCTCCGCCTCCCTGCAACCTCTGCCTCCCGGGTTCAAGTGATTCTCCTACCTCAGCCTCCCGAGTAGCTGGGATGACAGGCATGCGCCACCACGCCTGGCTAATTTTGTATTTTTAGTAGAGACGAGGTTTCTCCATGTTGGTCAGGCTGGTCTCAAACTCCCGACCTCAGGTGATCTGCCCCCTCGGCCTCCCAAAGTGCTGAGATTACAGGTGTGAGCCACCTCGCCCGGCCCAAAAGCAAGTATTTTTTACTAAGGTAGTACAGGACATGAGGGTGACAGGGTATAAACTGATTCCAAAGTTTCAGAAGTTGTGCAGTGTCCAACAGGCACACATATCCAATCAGTAAGTGTGATTATTTAATAATAAAATTTTGGCCGGGCACAGTGGCTCACACCTGTAATCCTAGCACTTTGGGAGGCCAAGGTGGGCAGATCATGAGGTCAGGAGTTCAAGACCAGCCTGGCCAACGTGGTGAAACCCCCGTCTCTACTAAAAATATAAAAATTGGCTGGGCGTGGTGGTGGGCGCCTATAATCGCAGTTACTCGGGAAGCTGAGGCAGGAGAATCATTTGAACCCAGGAGGCGGAGGTTGCAATGAGCCAAGATAGAACCACTGCACTCCAGCCTGGGTGACAGAGTGAGACAAAAAATAAATAAATAAAATAAAATAAAATATTAAAAAATAATCTTTTGGCCGGGCGCAGTGGCTCACGCCTGTAATCCCAGCACTTTGGGAGGCCGAGACGGGCGGATCACGAGGTCAGGAGATCGAGACCATCCTGGCTAACACGGTGAAACCCCGTCTCTACTAAAAACTACAAAAAACTAGCCGGGCGAGGTGGTGGGCGCCTGTAGTCCCAGCTACTCAGGAGGCTGAGGCAGGAGAATGGCGAACCCGGGAGGCGGAGGTTGCAGTGAGCTGAGATCGTGCCCCTGCCCCCCCGCCAGGGGGAAAAAGTAAAACCCCGTCTAAAAAAAAAAAAAAAAAACTTTTCCTTCAATTTCTGTATTTTTTTAAATTAGCTACTAAGTTTGGGACATATATACTTAATGTTTGGACCCAACCACTGTACTCAGTAAATAGACTGTTAGGTATTTCTTTTGATCTAAGGGTGCCATGCATCAAGAAAATTTAGGAACCACTCTTCTAAATAATCCGTAGGTCTTCAAATAGCGACTGAGCCCAATTAGCCTTTGAGCTAAGAGTGTTTTTTCACATTTTTATTGGATTGTAGAAAACAAGGCAAGCAATAACAACTAAACAAAGAAAATGTGACAAAGACCATGTAGCCTGCAAAGCCTGAAATATTTACTATCTGGCTCTTTGCCCACTCCTACATTTATATAACCGATATCTAGAGTTAGTATTTTCCGGGATTGAAGGAGGGTAAGAGTGAAATGACAGAGACTCCAGACCTGTGCTGTCCAATACAGTAGTTATTTACATTTAAATTAATTAAAATAAAATAAAATTTAATAATCAGTTCTTTGGTCACAATAATGACATTTCAAGTGCTCCATCGTCCCATGTCGCTAATGGGTACTACGTTGGAGTGCAGATACAAAACATTATCATTTTCACAGGAAGCCCTATTGGACCGCACTGTTTTACTGTTAATATCTGGAGTATCTTTTACAGTCTATTATTTAACATCGAATACATCATTAATACCACCATTCCAAACATTTTATTCAATTTACATGTATTTATCATCTTGTTAAGATTTCCAGCCATTCACAAAGTCAACAATTATACTGCTTTGACCCTAACCTTTAATTACCAAAATTTTACCATATATTAACTCCCATCTCTGTAAATCATCTCTCCAACGAACATCCACCTCAAACGCGGTCTTCTCCACGAATCCATCACCAAAAACATCAAATGAGCTCTCCCTTTTCTATGCTCTCACTCCACTCTAGAATGTCGTATAATCTTTTACATTCTGTCTTGTGTTCTACTTATTTGGGTATATTAGTTTATTTCCCTTTCTGGATTGTAAACCCCTCTAGATTTGGGACTCAGAATCATCTGTCCCCAGCCCTATCACAAGATAACGAATCCAATAAATACCTACGGGATTAGACGGAAGTGAAAACGTCAATTTTAATATCTAGACTGGAATAAGCTTCTGCTTTGGTCTTCATCCACATCCTGTCTCTGTTAATGCCTATTAAACCTATCTGAAATTCCAATCGGCAATTATTTTTTCCCCCTCAAACTTCAGTATTTAAATAAACATCAAGAACGGGGGCTTAAATCCTGAGGAATAATGAACGGAGAAGGATTTTTAAAAACTAATTTGCGGAGTACTAATATTGGCTTTGTTAATGTTATATCTGCAGGAAGCGAAAAATCTGTTACGTGCCGCCAGCACTCCGAGCAGACACCTTAAACCACGAAGAGCTAAGAATTTTAAAATCACTCATTGCTGTCACTTCATTTAGAGCCAAGAAAAGCTTAAGTGAGAAATACAAACAGCCTAGAGGTCCCTAGGGAAGAGCAGCAGGGGTGCAAGAAGAGTCCGCGAGCCCTGACAGAAGACCGCAGGGCGGGGCGGAAGGGGACGCCGAGAGCGACCGACAAGCAGCCAGAGCCGGGTGGCCGGAGGGGCCCAGGTGCGGGCGGAAAAGCATTAGGGAAGCGGGAGGCGCCATAACCTACAGGCCGAGGAGACGAAAAAAGAGCACAGTGTGACCGGCCCGGGGCAGAGGCGTCTACCCGGCCCGGCGCTAACGGAGGCCGCCAGGCTGAGGGAGCGTTCCCCACCTCCCACCGCGGGAACTTCAGGGCGCCCAGACAAAACCCGAAGCCTTGTCTGGAGCCCAGAAGGAAAGGGTCATTCTCTTTACCTGCCGTGGCCCACTTGCTCGACAAATTTTGCGCAGGTTTGGGGTCCACACGCTCCTCAGAGCGGAAACTCAGCGCCGCCTCCAGCCGTCACCACACAACGCCCGGCTCGCCTCAGCGAAGTATTCAAATCTAACCGCCTAGGTGCTGCGCACGCGCAAAGCGGCTCTACGCGTCGGCTCCGCCCCTTAGGCTCCACACCAACCCTATTTCTAAGACTCCTTTAAGGAAACTAGTTTCCTAGCCTTCGTGCCAATTTTATTTCCTTCAAGTTTATCTCATTTGCGACCGAATTTCCTCTGCCCCTCCCCACTGCAGACCTCCCCCACAAACATGGGAGCGGCCATCTTCTTTCGATTGCTTGCTAAGGAAATGATTGGATTTTGGCTTCCGTACAAAATGGCGGCTTCCATAACATTGCGTCACATCCCCTTGATGTTACTCCCTATAGCAATCAGGAAACTGTATGCTTCGGGGACGAGGTGGCCGAGTGGTTAAGGCGATGGACTGCTAATCCATTGTGCTCTGCACGCGTGGGTTCGAATCCCATCCTCGTCGAGGTCACAGCAAATTTTTTTTGTTTATAACCAAAGTAAACTTGCAGAGCGGAATAAAAGTTTTTTTTTTTTTTGAGACGGGGTCTTGCTCTGTCGCCCAGGCTGCAGTGCAGCGGCGCGATCTCGGCTCACTGCAAGCTCCACCTCCCGAGTACATGCCATTCTCCTACCTCAACCTCCCGAGTAGCTGGGACTACAGGCGCCCGCCACCAAGCCCGGCTAATTTTTTGTATTTTTAGTAGAGACGGGGGTTTCACCGTATTAGCCAGGATGGTCTCGATCTCCTGACCTCGTGATCCGCCCGCCTTGGCCTCCCAAAGTGCTGGGATTACAGGTGTGAGCCACTGCGCCCGTCTGAGCGGAATAATTTTTTTTTATAACCAAAGTAAATTTGCAGAGCGGAAAAAGTTGAATACTCATTATTTATTACTCAATTAATCCGGCACCATCAATCTCAGGTATGAAATAGTTGAAATACAGTATTTGGAACGTTCTGACATCACAGATAAAGAAAAGGGAGGGAAAGAGACTTTCCAGGAATCAGAAAACGCGCTGAATTTAATTTTTTTTATATGAAGTTAACAACAGGGTATAGAATTCCACAATTATTACCATCCCATATGTTCCAATGCTGCTCTGTTCCAACTTTAACATAGCTCCTGAGGAGTTTCAATTATCGTACACTCTTACTCGGGTTTTTAACACCTGTCCGGATTATGAAATACCAGGTTTCACTTCAAAAGCTACCACGAGACACTTTATTTATCCGATATTTATTATCTACAGGCACATCACTATAACTCTTGATCATGACAGATATTTTTATTACTCCATTTTACAGATGAGGAGACTGAAAGATTAGCTTGCCCAAGGTTATCAGCTTCTAAGTTGTAGAAAGGAGAGTGTAACCCAAATCTACTGGACGCTGGCTTAATCACCCTCCTAATCTGTGCTGTAGATTAATAATCAGTATTTATCAATCCTATACTGTGCTATAGATTAATAATCAGTATTTATCAATCTTTTGAAGCCATGGTTTACAGATTCTCTCCTCCACGAGGCTGTCTGCATTGCACCATGCTCCACAACCCAGCACCTGGCAGGTGCTTCAGCAAGGTTTGGGCACTGAGTATGGAAAGCAGTGGCCCCATTCTCTGCTGGCTCCAGTGGCTCCTTCCTGTTAAAGATCCAAATCCGTTGGGAATGTTGATACCTCCTTGGGCTCAGGACACTGAGTCAACCTTCCTTAGCCTTGCTCTCCAATGCATTCTCCACCCTGCTGCTAGGAAGGGTTTCTGCTGGGTTCCATGCATTTCCAAGGGGTCCATGGATAGAATTCAGTGGATTATTTGGTTCAGAATAAAGATTTCATCCTTATTTCCATACTCCCTAATTGAAAGCACATTCTTCAGTAACGGTAAGCAGCTCACTACAGTAATGTTAACCTTATCCATTATTTTGTCACTAATAGAAATCACAGATATTTTTATACCAGATTACTGTTACTGCTTTACGCTCATTGCTACTTCAAAATTATGGTAATTTTTAGACGTGCTATTAGATCTTGTAATGTTACGCATTCATAAAGAAGTGCATGCATTAAGCCGGGCGCGGCGGCACACGCCTGTAATCCCAGCACTTTGGGAGGCTGAGGCGGGTGGATCATTTGAGGTCAGGAGTTCAAGACCAGCTTGGCCAACACGGTGAAACCCTGTCTCTACCAAAAATACAAAAGTTACCCAGGCGTGGTGGCATGTGTCTGTAGTCCCAGGTACCCGGGAGGCCGAGGCAGGAGAATTGCTTGAACCCAGGAGATGGAGGTTGCAGTGAGCCGAAATCGTACCACTGCATTCCAGCCTGGGTAACAGAGCAAGACTCCATCAAAAAAAAAAAAAAAAAGTGCATGCATTATTATATTATTACATCACAACTATTCCAACACAATTGGTTGCCTTTGTATTCCAACATATTTAATTTTATGCGCTTAAAAACAACATTCTGGCCAGGCATGGTGGCTCATGCCTGAAATCTCAGCACTTTGGAAGGTCAAGGCAGGAGTAGCCCATGAGTCCGGGAGTTCAAAGACAGTCTGGGCAACATAGTGAGACCCCTGTCTCTACAAAATAATTTAAAAATGTAATCAAAATTTTAAAAAAAATTCTGAGATGAGATCCTTAGACTTCCCCAGACTGCCAAAAGGGTCTGTGTCACCAAAAAAAATGTTAAGAGCCCCTGAGAGATACCTTTCTAAATCTCCCTGGAGACACTGATCTTACCTTTCCTTCAGTAGGATTTTTTTCTCTTTCCATAACACGTTTGTAGATACTGTCCCTGCTCCTCTCACGGCAACATACCCCTGACCCCACCCTCTTCTTTCCCATCATGTCACTTCCTGGCTGGCTGCCGCTCCTCCTTTGGATCTCAGCTTAGAGGTCACCCCCAACAACAAGCCCTGCAACCTGCAGCTCCCTCTTCCATTTCAACTAGCCCCTGTGCTCTCTCTTGCTTCTGGACCTTTGTAACCCTCCTAGACCCTTCTGTAGCCTGCTAGGCTTTTCCCAGCACATGCCAGGGAAGTGCCAGGAATGCATTTGTAAATAGATTTTTACTTACATTGCCCATTAGTGCTGCAACTTCTCTAGAGACGCCAGGGCTGCATCATTTTCTGAGGTTTGCTAGCTTCTTGCAGTGATGACTATAGGTCTATCAATGTCTGTGCAGAGTATGGGTAGATTTTCTTTTTTTTTTTTTTTTTTTTTTTGAGACAGGGTCTCGCTCTGTCGCCCAAGCTGGAGTGCAGTAGCACTATCTCAACTCACTGCAACCTCCACCTCCCAGGTTCAAGCAGTTCTCCTGCCTCAGCCTTCCCAGTAGCTGGGATTACAGGCGTGTGCCACCACGCTGTTAATTTTTGTATTTTTAGGAGAGGCGGGATTTCATTTAAGAAGGAACTCATGAATTTTACAAGTATAATCAAAGACAACTAAAATTTCTTCAAAAGCTAAATGTAGTGTAGCCACCTCCCCCGCCACTCCCCTCCGCCACTCCCCGCCGCCACTCTAAGTTAGAGAAGAATACTAACTGCTTGTTTTTCCTTCTGTGCTCAGGGAGCCTTATCTGTACTTGCTAGTTTCACATTCCTTGAGGCTCAGCGAGTTCCTGCTTCACCTCCCTAGGGCAGCTGCAAAGTACAAGGTTGATACAAGGTTGATTTCTCAGGGATGTGGAACATGTAATATAGATAAATGTAAAAGACTGATCAACTTTGTTCTCGCTTCTGTAAGTCCGCTTCCTGCATCACGTTTCTCCCGGCCACTGACTGCTTAAAAGGTGGCTGCTTTCTTTGTCCCGGACTCAGACTTTCCTGGACGCTAGTCCTACTGACCCAGGTGATCACGTTTTAATAAAGACATTTCCTGAACTCACTCTTTTCGGTCTCTCCCATCTTTTGATTGTCCCACAGCATCATCATGTTGGCCATGCTGGATGGGACGTCGTGCTGCACGGGCTGGGAAGATTATTTTTTCAAAGGAAAATCTTCAGCTGTATAAGTTGTGAAAATGAAATGTACTGGCAGAATATAGAGAAAAAAAAAAAGAAAAAAACTGTGAGTTGAAAACTCACTTTTTGGCCGGGCGCGGTGGCTCAAGCCTGTAATCCCAGCACTTTGGGAGGCCGAGATGGGCGGATCACGAGGTCAGGAGATCGAG